AGTTATATCCTATAGAAAATGATTTCCCACATTTAATTTAGGTCAAATGCTGATCTATTTTTTTTTATACGGTAGATTGTAGAAAAATATACCAACTCAAACATTGAGATCCATACATTTAACCAGGTCTGTTTATTTTACACCAGAAAATCTTTACTTCTCTTTGAATTGAAATAATTTGATTTGTTGATATTTATCTTCTACTTTTTACAGAGTCAGTACCCTCGTTTAGCAGTCGACAATTTCACGCCACTTCCATGCATAAAAGATGCTGGAAAAGATGGATGGTATTTTACACGATTCAACGCTATGCGAAATTGATAATTTAATGGATGGACTTTGTTGAGTGGTTAAACATCTACATTTTCAAGTAGTTATATGTTTTTTAAGATAGAAATTTTTTGGGTTATTGATCTCTTGATTTGAAATATCAAATAATTGATTTACTGTAATATTAACAATCGTATTTGCATTCATAATTGCATTTGCATTTGCATTTGCATTCGTATTCTTATTTATATTCCTTTTCTATTTTCATATTTATTAATTTTGATTTATTGCTCTTCTCCATGAACGGTTTTTACTCTCACCATTAGCTTAATTCCTTTATTTTGGATAAAACAAACTTATTTCATTTTCTTTTCTGCTTTTGTGATTCAGATATGATGTTTACATATATGTCAATCTCGAGTGAAGTGTTGTAAAGATTGCATGCATTTGTCCTAACTGTTTATTTCAGGATCATATTAGTTAGTTAAGCAATCAAATGCCAAAAATGCAGCAAATGCAGTGATTATTTTACGTAATTCTGACATGATTCTCTTGTTTTCAAGCTCATGAATGTAGTTTGCTTGTACAGGTACCCCCCTGGTCATGGCGATGTGTTCCCTTCTTTAGTGAATAGTGGCAAGCTTGAAGCATTATTATCACAGGTTTTGCCCTTTAAGATGCAGTTTTCTTTGATTTACGTGCATGAATTAACACTATGTTTCAATAATACAGTACCTGTTCCCCCTTTTTTCATTCACAGGGCAAAGAATATGTCTTTGTTGCGAATTCGGATAACTTGGGTGCTGTTGTTGATTTGAGTATCCATACTTGGTGACTTAAACTAAGTTTTACTCCTTAGAGCTTTTACACACAAATATTGTGCATGTGAATACGCATGTTTATGTGCATGTGTTAAAGTATTTTTATTCTTATATGTTTATGGAATCACTAATTATTTGTTTATAAAAACACTACTAACAATGGTGGTAAGTAATGTTTTATTCTTATATCTTTATGGATTCACTAATTAGTTGTCTATAGAAACACTACTAACAATGGTGATCTGTGCTGATTTTTCTAGTGTTTGTCCAAATATTTCCTTAATTCGTTGCTTCAGAAATTTTAAGTCATTTGATCAACAACAAGAATGAATACTGCATGGAGGTACTGAAAAGAGGTTTTTGTACCCTTTGGATCGTTTTGTTGTGATAATTGTTTCTAGAGATTTAAAACCGTGTGTGTTACAGGTTACACCAAAAACTATGGCTGATGTGAAAGGTGGTACATTAATTTCTTATGAAGGAAAAGTTCAGGTACTTTTTAGCAGCAAGTTCCTCCCCTACCTCAATTTACGATAAATACTTGTTGCTTGTTGGCGAGCATAAGATGGTTATTCATTGATCAATCACAGTTTTCTTTTCAAGATGTTAGATTTTATAGAAACGTCTTTCTAAATTCCACGTGAGGTGTTAGCTGCGAGAAATATGTTTGGTCCTCTATATGAAGACTCTCAACTGAAATTGGGCCTAATATACAGAAGAAGATCTTGCCAAAGTAAAATATAAATTATTATTTTGGAAGAATGTGACTGTTACTTATATTTGCTTGTCTTAATATAGCAAATTACATAAACTTCCCTTGAGGTTTATGACAACTACAGAGACAATCCCTCCTTTTAAAAAATTTCTGAAACCTCCTTGAGGAACTCTTTGTAACATTGTCCCTATCCTCTTAAAGTAAGCCCTTCTTTGGCCCCCATTAAAATTTTTAATTTTTTTTATTTCTTAATTTTAACCACACATTTTCCAAATGAAATAATATTACACACAAATTTAGAACTTTTCATTATTTTTCAACCACACATTTTCCTATCAATCACTATTCCAAAATTTATAAATTCTCCAAAATGGGGGCGAAACAATTACTAAATATACATTTTCCATTTTACCCCTGAACTCTATTTTAATATTGTTATAAAATTATTATATAAGATTTTTTAAAATTCAAATACGATGGACAAATAATTTGCAATTCAACATAAATAAATTTTTCAGAATAATTAATGAAACTAGTTTAAAATTCTAATGCCATTATAAATATTGTTATAAAATTACTAAATATGATTTATTTGTTTTTCCAAATACAATTGATAAATAATTAACAAAAAATAAGTAAATGTTTTTAAATGTTATGTTCTTTTCATTCATCTTTTCATTAGAAATATTTAATCAATTTTAGTTAAATCAGAATTCAGTATCACAAAAATATGTTTGAGATTAAATAACTTTATACAAAAAGAAAAAAAAATTAAAATTAAAATTTTAAAAAATTATTTTTGTCTAAATTAAAATTAAGAAATCAACATATATAAACGTTTTAAAATAATTAATAAAGCTAGTTTAAAATTTTAATACCATTATAAACATTGTTATAAAATAACTAAATATGATTTTTTTTCCGAATATGATTGATAAATAATTAAAGCAATTTTTTTTTCAAAATTAAAATTAAGAAAAAAAGTAAGAAAGCAAATATAATCATATGTATAAATAAGTATAAGATAAGATAGAAGGACAAAATGGAAAATTTATGCTAAGTGGGAGATTTCTGAATTTTTGAAAAGGATGGAGTGTCTCAGTAGTTTTTGAAAATCGCTCAATCTTAATAATATTTACTTGTCTAGTTTTGTTAAAGAGATATTGTTATTATTTTTGTTTGGTTCGTTTTCATAGGCTTGATTGGTCAAGGCACATGTCCTTAACCTGTGATGAAATTATTATCAAATTTGGTTAGTTTAAGCGTGTTGGTGTATTTTTCAGTACAGGTGATTCACTACCAGCATATTTTGCATTTTATTGAAATCTTGGCCCACACAACATGTGATTAATCCTTTTGAAACCTTAAAGATAGTCTACTCCCACCTCTCAATGCCTTTCCATCAAAAACTGTGTCATTGTTCTGTTGAGCATTTTAATTACAATTAAGAGGTACGGTGGAGTATTAAGGGCAAGCAAGCTGGTGAGCAGAACATTCTGTAGCTAAACTTTGAAACACCATACCAATATAACACGGTGGTAATAATATTCCTTGCATTATCATTTTCTACTTAATTTTTTCAGAGGTCTGTGTATAGGTATGACTTCCTACACAGGATATAGAGGTTGTACACTTGTATGTCCAGCACATTTCAGTGCTATGCGTGTTATAAGTGATCACAGGATTCCATGCTACCAGGTTCAATAAGTTAGAAGCTCATTCATCGGTTGTATGTATAACCATATCTCACATTACGGTTTATTGCCTCTGTACATACTTCAAAGATGGTTAATTGTTTAGTCACGATAGTTTTTTGTCAGATTAATTATGACAGCCTTTATGAAGTACAAGCATTCAGAAAATCCATTTTTTGTATAGATTTGGTTATTTTGGTTGATAGAGATCTTCTTTTCCTTGAGTGATGATGAACTACAGACCCATTGTAAATATGGCGCAAATGGATTATATTTTTCCTGTCCAACTTGTACCTTTTCATAAATGAAATCAGGGAACTGTCATATTTATTTGCAGCTCTTAAACTATATATACATGTTCAAATTCAGTTGCAGTAACTGTTTCTTGTTTGTGATGCAGCTGCTCGAAATAGCACAAGTTTCTGATGAACACGTGAGTCTAGCCCTCTCTCTTCTGTTGTTTTATTGTTACCCCGATAACTATTTATGGCTATTAGTTTCCTACTCTGAATGGGGTTTTTATCGAGAGAAATGATAGTCATTGCAAATGCAATTCCATTATTGCCCAAACTTGGCAAAGGAGACTGATAAATAACATACACAATATATATATTTTTTCATAACATATTATTCAACTTCATTTCTTTTATCACAAGCTTTAATTGAAAAAAAAAAAAAAATTAAGTATGAGGAGAAGGCAGGAATGAATTTGGCTCCACTCGCTAAGAGTTATTGGTATTTCTTACAAGGGGCATGTTGCATATTTTAGCATGCAAAAACTTAAAACATTTATTTCACAAGGAAAGAATCATCAGGATCAATTATACAACTAATATAGTGGATTAAAGTAGAATGCATAAAGGGCAATGTTGTACCAATAGTCTGTTTCTCAATTTTGACCTTGTAAGAAGGTCGAAGAAGTGCAGTGAGTTGGAGAAAATTAGTTGCAAGAATTTCCAAGATGGAGTGGCTTTATGTACATACGCAAGTTTATTGCCTGACCTTTCATTCTTTTGAGATGAAAGCACGTCTCTGGTGGTGGTTATTTAATTCCGAGGTTATAGTTATCGTCTACTGCTTGCTCGGGATGTTTGTGCTGATGTAGATATTTCCTTTTGCATGCAGGTTAATGAATTTAAGTCAATAGAGAAGTTCAAAATTTTCAATACAAACAACTTGTAAGCCATGAAGGCACCTCACTCAAATTAATTGCTGGTTGGATAATCATAAATATTTTTCTTAGGAAAAATGTAATGATGCAAATGGCTCATAAATCCATGCAGGTGGGTGAACTTGAATGCAATCAAAAGACTTGTGCAAGCAGATGCACTGAAGATGGAGATCATTCCCAACCCAAAGGTATCACTTTATTTCTAGCAGTCACCTAAACATGGCCATTTTTTCTAGGATAGTTGCAATCTGTCTTTTCATTTCCAGGAAGTGGATGGAATCAAAGTTCTTCAACTTGAAACTGCTGCTGGGGCTGCAATAAGGGTACACAATCATGTGTCGTTTTTCTACATTATCTTATAATTTGTCCAACTGTCCCTCAAACGTTGTACTAATAACCTTTTTTCTCACATCTTTTGTCAATCAGTTCTTCGATCGTGCTATTGGCATAAATGTTCCCCGGTCTCGCTTCCTTCCTGTGAAAGCAACTTCAGATCTGCTTCTAGTCCAAGTAAATTTATATCTGACTTCAAATGTACATGCAGATATACATTAGATATATAAATCCCTGATTCCCGACTCATTTGTTTGATTTTTCAGTCTGATCTTTACACCTTATCTGATGGTTTTGTGACCCGGAACCCAGCAAGGACCAATCCAGCCAATCCTTCAATTGAATTGGGACCTGAATTTAAGAAGGTTAAGACCTATTCCTTCTATGCTATCTAGCACCCGTGGTGTTGAGCACCAGTCTAGATGTCAGCATATCACGAGTTCTATAAAATGAGCCATAATTCCTTGTATTTAATTGAACCTGTAATTTAATGTCACTAATGCTGCCACCTAGACTGTTGTTAAATACCAATAATACTAAATAACATTACTTGTCCTTCTATTATTTGCATTAGCTTGGAGCAATTCTATGTTTAAGCAGACAGTTAGTGACTATTAATTTTTAGGTTGCCAACTTCTTAAGTCGGTTTAAGTCTATCCCAAGTATCATTGAGCTGGATAGCCTGAAGGTGACTGGTGATGTATGGTTTGGATCTGGCATTGCTTTGAAGGTACTGTGTCATTCCTTCTTGTGTTTCTATTATCTGTTCTAGCTTTGTTGACACGTGGAGTTCATAATCTTGTGAGGGTTTAAAACAATGGAATTTGAATGTTTGTCATTAAATCACTGTCTGGGCGCGATTGTGCGAATTTCACAATTTATTCTTACTTTAAATCATCAGGGCCCACGTTTGAAATTTGGTCCATTTTCCAACTTTTAAAGATTGGAGATTGTCCATTTTACCCTCATTTATGCATAATGTCTACATTTGGAATGAGTGGTTGAGAGTCTTTGATAAGGGCTCTGCAAATTGTCTGAAAAGTAGACATTTTTAATTGATACAAAATGTGCATTCGAATGATAAACGATCCAATTTTCAATTTCTATTTGGTTTTTAACTGGCCCAGACGGGCTAAAGTTAGTTATTTGTTACACTTTGGTACCCAGTCCTGCAGTCCATGTACATTAGTTTTACTAACACAAAAACTATCGTGGTAATCTTGTTGGCGTCCTACTTGAAAAACAATTAGGTCATCATGACACCTTTTTTGTTAGTCAAACTAACATATATGTATGGGTATTAAGTGCCAGTCAAGCCGCCCCACCCAGCTTGGCTCGTGCTCCAGGCGAGCAGTGGGCATGAGCTACTCGTGAGCTGATGAGCCTGCTTGTAAGTTGGTTCGTGCGCGCACATATATATATATTGTTGATCAAACTTGCTCTTTCTCTTTCTCTTGCTCTTGCTCTTGCTCTTGCTCGTGCTTGGCTCACTCTATTTAACACCCGCGCGCGCCTGCGCACACATGTATATATTGTTGATCAAACTTGCTCTTTCTCTTTCTCTTGCTCGTGCTTGGCTCGCTATTTAACACCCTTACATACAAAAACAAAATAACTAATTTGTACAAAATTTTAAGTTAATCAGCTAAAATAACATGAAATTTAGGTTTTGTGTTGAGCTCTTTTTTTGGGAGAATAGATTATGCGGTGACTTTTGGAGAATATGTGATTAAAAAGTAGGAAAAAGTTTTAGATTACTTGTAAAATTATTTAATTGAAAGGATTCGTGGTTGAAAAAGAGAGACAAATAATGAGTTATTAAAGAATGAGGCCCAAACAGGGACTTTGTAACTAACATGAATTTTTTTACCTGTTTATTGAACCCATCTTCTGATCTTATGCTTATCCTCTTGTGATTTAACTTTTTGTATTTATTCTCCTTTTGTTAGGGTAAAGTGACAATTGCTGCGAAACCCGGTGTGAAGTTAGAAATCCCCGATGGAGCTGTAATTGCTAACAAGGTAATATAAAATAGTTAACAAATAACAATTAAGCAGTCTATTTCCGAATTAAATTAAATTTAACAATTAACTAATTCTTGGTTCATTCTCTTTTACTGGTGACCAGGAGATCAATGGCCCAGAGGACATATAAAACAGTTGGTTTTTTTGTAATCACAGCAGTTGACGTTTCTGGTTTTGTACGAATAAACATGAGGAAATTAAGTCGACACGGCCTTTATGGATAAGTATTAAATAATCAATTTTGCTTTGCTGCAAAATAGGGATTGGGTGCTCCAGGCTCCCATTCGTCAACTCTTAGCAACACATACCAATATTACAAATATCTTGTACCCTCTCTCTCGGGTTCTCGATGAACAAAGATGTTGTAAACTTGTTATGGCGTAAAAATTCTTCAGTGTGTTGTCAGGTTCACTGTTTTACGGGTTATCAAATATTTCAAAAACATTTTGTTTAAATAAAACGCGACATATCTTATTGACACGACCAAGAAATGCAAGCATAGAGCATGAGGTCCATTTGAAGGCTAAAAATGGACACCGTATTGGTGTGGGTGCTGGAAATTCTGTTCGGGTTTTTTTTTGGAACTAGATTGGACCAATTTTTGTTGGGATTATCGAAATGGAGCCGTTAGACATTATAGCTCTTTTAAAAAAAAATTGAATTTTCATTGAAGTTATCAAAATATCATCCAATCCATATACTTCGTCACTCACATTTTGAGAAATGTCATTCTCAATTTTGGTGATGTGGATACTGTAAGTTGTGAAAATCCATCCGAAATATGTCAAGTTTTGAAACGACGAGTACTGAATTAGCAGATGAGATAAACATTTGAGTAATGTTATTCATCCCCAGTGGGGATGAAAATACAGTCTATGTGGCGTTAAATGATAGGTTAAATGAAATGTGAAATTAAATGACTTATTTAATTTCACATATCATTTAATACCACATTAACGCTACATAGACTGTGTTTTCATCCCCAGTGGGGATGAATAGCATTACTCTAAACATTTTGATAAACTAGCGGCAGCTTGAGAAACTATTAGAGTTGGAACTCGGTAAACTTTTAGGGTCCGTTTGATTGCAAGTGTGGAAAATAGGTGGAAAAAAAAATGTTTTACAGGGAATTGATTTTCCTAGAAAATGTTTTACTGGAAATTGTAATTAATTGTGTTTGAGTGGTATAATTTTTCATGGAAAATGTTGAAAGTTTGGTGTCCATTTGGCTTCGTTTTTATGGAATTTGTCCATTAAAGTGATAATTTTTTCTACCATTTGGTCTAAAATTTGTTCCAATTGTAAAAAAAAAAAAATTTACTATACCGAATGTCATTCGTTTGACTTTGTTTTGCATGAAAGTTGTCAATAAAAGTGAATTTTTTTTTTACTATTATATCTAGAATTTGTTCCCATTGTAAAAAAAAAAAAGCAAAAAAAAAAAAAAAGGTGGAAAATGTTTTCCAGCCAAATAGGTGGGAAAACAAAATCAAGCTTTTGTGTATCAAAGGATTGTACCTAGAAAAAGGTGGAAAATATTTTGTCAGGAAAATTTGTGCTATTTAACACCCTTAATTGGCTAAAGTTAGAAAATATTTTCCTTTTCCACCCATTTTCTAGGCTATCAAACGGACCCTTAAAGTTCAATATCAACTAAACCCTTGTTTCACATTCATACTTTTGGAAAAGAGTTTTGAATAGTGACTTTTAGGAGAATGTGTAATTAAAAAGTGAAAAAAATTTGAGTTTACGAATATTTCATTGTGTGAATATGTGGTTGAAAACGAGTATGTAAGAAAAATAGTTTAAAAAGTATTGTTGTCAAACAGGGGCCAAGGTGTTGGAAAAAATAAATAAATTGAAGGATTGACTTTAGCATAAATTTTGAGTGAGATCCGTTTGTTTATTTTGGAAGATCAAGATTGATTTGTGTCCCTCCGTGAGAATATCGAAATCATATATTTACTTACCAAAAATGATGCTCGGGTGAATGAAAAATCGGAGTTCAAAGTGATGCATTGGAATATGTTTTGTCGGAGGGAAACTTGTTTAAAGTTATCCCACATACGAAAATAGATAAGGACAATGACCACTTTAAATATTATTATACTTTAGAAGAGTGTAATCATGTGTAGCATAGAGACTCTCCGCGCGCGTAGGAGGGGTGCAAGTCATGGACCGAAATAGGTTTCGGACCTTGAAGATCCACGTTTTGCAGTGCTCGGAATCTACTGGTTTTCTGTCGTATCCTGGAAAACAGATTGCTAATTTGGCTAGACACTGGCAAGTAAAACTGGGTGTTCCAAGATTGGAATTCAGACAATGAGGAAAGCTGGAAAATGATCTTACCATAAATGGATGAGAAACTTTCCTTGTCAGCTTCATTTGAAGCTCTCATCAAGTTTAAAAGGGTTGAAGTAGATGAATTACTCGCGAGGTTTTTCCCTCAATGTCAGTCGACATTTTGCTCAACCAAACTCCTCGAAAGCTGAAGACAATAAACTGCAAGAAAGATAACCTACAGGCCATCTCCAAAGAATAAGCTGGAATCGATATGCAGGAAAATAATCGCATAGCAGATTCTGAATTGATAATAAATCAATACTGGGAAAGTTAAATGGATCTAAGCATGTAAGTGTCCATTAACCAATGTGCAGGAAATTGATTAACATTTAAAGATCAATAATCAGTGAACTGGATTGAAGGGGGGTAAGTGAAATAAGAAACTGTTGTGTAAATCAGAAAAGTATTGTAGCCTTTGTACTGAAAACCGTGTCAAGAGAATTCCTGAGCTGAAGAAGCCCGAATACTGGTGTCAACCACAACAGAAGACTGGTTTGGAAGATCTCACAAGGAATTAAGTACTTAGAGTATAATTTTGATAAGCTGATGGAAGTGACTGCTCAGATTTGATCAAGTTAATACTTTTAAATGAACGAAGCATATGTCCTGTTACCACAATAGACGGCTAACAGAGGAAAGTAAAGCAGCACTTCAAATACTCTCATGAGTCGACGAACACATTCCCTTTACTATTTTCTTCTAACAATCAAACCAAAGAAGGTATCTAAATATCTCTCGTTTTGCTCTGCAATTCCAAATATTACGAAAAATGCATCCGACACTCAAAATACTTGACGAATCAAATGATAGAATGTTAACAGCTTATCAAACTATTGATACCATAACCTAAATTTATGCCTTCTCCAGAAATATCAAGATTTACCTCCGTAGCACACATTTAAGGCAACAACATATAGATATACAACCAAGCAACAGTTTTGCAGACTCAGACACAAACATCTTAGCATATTGGGTCTATATTGCCTACGAGCGCTTATAATCTTCTCCCAAGCAAGTGGCTAGCTTGTAAACTTTGGCTGCTCAAAAAGAACAAAGTGGCAACCAGCAAAGGAACAATTTCTTGATTTACTTCCACATTAGGAAAGACAAACTTATTGAACAAATATTCTGAAGAATATAATATCTTCACTTCGTTACTCCTTTGTTTCATGCTATCTATTAATATTTTTCTACCTTCTATAAGGGCTCAAGTATATATCTGTATAAGTTCAGATTATACCTTCTTCTGATGCAGACAGATTCTGTGGTTCTAGTTTCTATCTAATAGCTAGTTTCTACAAAGAAAAACAGCAGAATTATTTGGCAGTTGCTAGAAGGTCGGTCTATCTGTAAGGTAGAACATTGATTTAAAATAAATTCTTGATAGCAACAGAGAGCATCCACAATTTTAAACATTCAAAGCATAGAATATCATAAGTTAAGATGAATATTCTTTTCTTCTTTTCCAAATATTGATAAATGTAAGAGCTTTTTGGTCAAGCAAGCACACAGACACTTTACCAACAATTGCTCTTCATCTCTCGAGAACAAAGATACATAAAGTTCAAAGACCTACATAGCACGGTATCTGAAACGCTTGCGGTAAATTATGATTATTCCCTATAATGTAAAATGGAGAAATAACAGTTGTCAAATAAATAAGTCAAAACATTGGAAAATGGTATGTTTATTTTGTATCTATCTGCTCTTCATTAAAGATATAGACACATTTCATTTTAATTGGAAAAAAGGGAAGTAGCAGTTAAAAAGTCAATGTAAAAGATCATGGATGCTTATAAGATATACTGATTATCTCCCATCTTGGCTTGCCCCCTATTGTACAACATAACTGGAATCATTTTCATTAACTCCAATTTTTTAACCATAAGTGGAATTCGTTTCTTCGGGGTCGTAACGAAACCGTATTAGCCCCCTACCATCTTTGCCATCTCCCCGTTTTAAAGTCACCAAAATCACTAAATAATTGGAACATAATTTGAATGGCCTTCACATAATTAAAGCAAATAAAGCTAGAAAAGAGATTTGAGCGGCATTTTCAAAATAGAAAGCACATATACAAGACATCAATAAAGATTCTTGATCTCTTCACATCAAAATTAGATCTAAGACCCTTGTGATTTCTCTATCTATCAAATACAAGTTGTGTGAGTATGACTTTCGAGCATATAGAAAAGTAAAGGGAAAAAATCAATCCCCTACATAACTACAATTACAAAATTTTCTATTGGGATGATACTGACAAGGGAAGCACCTGGAAGGAATCCGAAACACAAGATTAAAGAAACCTCGAGTCGATGCTAAGAAATTCGAGTCCACGGGGAACCCTTTCGTTACTCCACCGTTATCCTTTCCACAACGGTGCAAACCAAAATTGCATCACCGTGTCTGATTTGATTCAAGAAGCAATGCATTCAGCATGATTTGAACGGCAGCATCATAAACGATTCCATCATAGTGCATACCATCCACCGTACACTGAGGCCCACATAGTTCAGTCAGCCAACGAATATCCAGTTTCAAAAGTGGCCCTCCAGATTGCCGCAAAAGCTTAGTTCTAGAAACTTCATCATCATAAGCATTGCACATTACATCATTCATCTTCTCCCTCTTTTCGACTGTGTTTAACATTGAGCTTATCAGTGCTGGTATCCCAAGCCAAAACAAATGTCGTGACCTAATCCACGCCGACTCACTTGCCCCCTTATCAATGGAATCCGTATTCCGGAAAACCGGCAAAAGCGCCAAAACTAAATCCTTCAATGCCGACAATGATATACCATATTCTGTTGCATTATTCACGTGCAACATATCCCATAACCCAGCTCCCATCAAAATGACATCCGGATAATCCTTGTTTTCCTTGAATTCCAACATCAAGTTGGTCAAATTTCTCACATATGGCGCCCACATGAAATCCAACTTCATCCCAATTTCATCAACAGTTGTGGAATAATCGCTATGCCTCTTAAACAAATCCCCTCTGATTTTCTTCATCCCCTCCGGACCCATGACCAACTCTAACAAAGAAACCACCATTAACCTCGCCTGAGAGTCCCCTGCAACAATTACCCACGACCCATTTAACAACACCGAGACATCTGGTTTCTTTAACTTTTGAAACCCACATTCAGCAACACTTCCCGACTGCGTCCATTTCCACGACATTCTCTTACAACCACTATCACTATTACTATCGATAGCATCATCCACACATTCACTGTAGTTACTTTTATACATAACAACGCTATGTAGGGAAAAAGTGCACGAATCACGGATCATGGAAGAAGAGGTTGTACCAGTCGGCAACGATGAAACAGAAATCGATGAAGGCTTGTACAGGAAATTGGATATTGAAGGAAAAAACGGGGTTAAGTGCACACCGACAGCGAGTGTGATGAAAAGGGCACAGCTGAAAAAAAGCATCTTATTCCGGCTTAAATGCCACCCCGCCATACCCATCGGCACGAACAACACAGTCCCGGCTGCCAATAATCCAAACGGTACAGCCTCGAACATTTCATAAAATTCCTGATTTCAAATCATAAGAGAAACAAAGGTGGGGTATTTTTCATCGGGAAAAGCCGAAACTGATGCGAGATTTCGGCACAAAAGATTTGTTCGGAATTCCTGATTTCAAATCATAAGTGAAACAAAGGTGGGTTATTTTTCATCGGGAAAAGCCGAAACTGATGCGAGATTTCGGTACAAAAGATTTGTTCGGTAGGGGGAGTTTGGACGGTGATAGTAATGGTTTAACAGGCAAATCCAGGCTGTGCTGTGCAATTATAATAGATTTTTATTGGGAAAATTCGGAAATGGAAAGGGAGGAGCATAGCTGTAGTTGATGGTGGTTTTGGTAGTGGTCCTAAGGTTCTACGGAGGTTTTTTTTTCTGTTATATATTTGGATCGCCATTGGATTCGGACTTTCAATGGGTCGGATCAATATTAGAATCTTGATGTGATTGAGAATAATTTGCTGTTAAATCTTACGATTTTATAAAGGGTAATGCTACGTGTATACACACACTTTTACACAATTTTTTACACATCTCTCACATGGAGGGGGGTCCACGATTACTTTATTATGTATGAGCCCCCTTCCATGTGAGAGAGGTGTAAAAGATTGTGTAAAAAATTGTGTACACTTAGCATTATTCTTTTTACATAATAGTTCACATAATTACACGTGGCACATATCCAGCGTTTAATTCAAATCTTACACTTTCACATCAACTAGTGGATGATTGCCACATCACATTATGTATCCATTTATGTACATAAATTATGTACAACTAGAATTATCCAATAGAATAACCATCCTTGATTATA